AGCGATTTATGTTTCCGTCATTTACACAATTTCAATGGGAAGAAATAGTCATAAATGTAACTTTAATTTCTTTCAATTATAGTTATTTATTTTTTAATATATAATTCATTTTCCTTATTGTTATATTTATAATAGGAAATCGTACGTGTTATCAAAGTTGGTGGTTGGTTAGAACTTTGTGAATATGAATTGTGCCAAAATTGTGGTCCCATATTGGAAAGTTTGTTATCTGCTCGTAAGTTTCTCATATATTCCTTGGTTGTACGATAATTTTCCAATAATAAATCCGGCCAGCATTATGGCCAATGCCGCCTAACTTGTCGACATGTGTAATTTACCGGATCCTCATATTTTTCGATATACTTATAATGCTAACGTTAACCAATCATTAATCAACCAATTGATTTATTGAAAAATAGGTAAAAAAATGCTCATCTCGGAAGGAAGAAATCCTGATGTTGCTCAGATTCTTGGAAGATTAATGAATGCTACTCAATGTTTTGATGATGTCAGTATATAATAAACTTAGTGTGTAAAAACTATCTGAAATACGTAAGATATTTGATTCCAAAACCTTTCTATTAATGTTAATTTAGATTTATCATAAAACTAAAGAAATTCCAATTGGCTCATGGGCCGGAAAAAATTAATTAGTAAAAAAAAGAAAATAATTAGTAACAAATGCTGATATATTGGGGGTCTTTTATACGCACATTTACTATAAGATTTCATTCAGGCTTTAAAGTTATGTAATTTACCGGACTAAAACAAGTGATTGAGTCCAAAAAAAATAAACTTGTAAGCCCGAAGTCTCGGCGACACTCATGTTACGAGATATACTACTGTACTGTAAATACACGTACATAGAATCTTGGTATACTTTTAACTAATAGCAGATAGAGAGCTTTTAGTAACGATAAACCATATCGAATATCGATATGTACTACGTGTCGCTATCATATAATACTGAATATAGGAATAATAAATAATAATGATACGTAATGATAATGCGGTACTACCAATTATAGTCAATTAATTTCCTCATGTTTGCATGATTTATCTTGCATAGTTTATCTAGGATTCATTTTCCGTAAATACCCGTGATAAAAACAATTAACTTCGTGCATATCATAATATTTATTGAGAACATCTAAATAAATGGATTTTTTTAAAATATAATAAACACTTTCTATGTACAACTCCTAAGCAAGTTTCTAAGTGCAAGTTTTATTCTGGTCCAAGAATATGATTTAGAGAAACTTGACAATATTTATAGCGATAGAATTTTTATTTTTTTTTACCTCCCTATAATTATTAATATTTGAGTTCGGTACTTTGTGTATCTATGTTTTGTTTGTTTATAAAAATGATTGACTGAATGAGAATGATTTGAGTTTTAAAAATTATAACTACTGTATAAACAGAACTTAAACTGGTTTGATGCTGTATAAAAATTGAATTCGTCCAATCCTATAATTCGAAAGCCACTAAGATCAGAAATAGCAAACCAAGGAAACTTCAACCAAAATTTATATGAATTTTTTTTTTTTTTTTTAGAAATAAAATAAGTTATTCATGGAAATTATACAATATATAAATTCTTTGTTGGACTATCAATAAGGCCACTTCAAATTGATTCTCTGTTTAACATAAGATAGCTCGTAAGAGTGTGGGAAGAGTATAAAAAAACAAAATTAGTAAAAATACAGTAATTCTATTGTCTTTAACAAAATGTAAAAAAAATATAAAAATAAACGAAAGGCTATACTGTAATTTGATTGGTTAATATGAGTATTTTTCGTTCAAAATTTTTAAAAATAGAGGGGGTTATGTTAAACCGAGAATCAAATTGGTCTGGCCTAAATTGAACGTAGGGATGAACAAAGTCCGGTTCAGTTCGTCCTGTTCATAATAAGATCGGTTCATTAAAACTGTTTTCATTCATTCTGAAACAGCCAAGAGATAGTAAATGACCTGGTTATAATTGATCAAAATTTAATAAATTCTAGTTATCAAATAATAACCTGGACATAATTAATCAAAATTTAAATGATCTCTAAAGTTATCAAATAATGATCCGGTTATTTAGATGAAATAATTATTGGTCAAATTGTTAATATAAAAAGTTATTTAATATTATTGGTTATCTTATTAAGTATAATATACTAATCTATTTGAATTAAAATATAATTATACAAAATTTTACATATCAGTTACACGATTTGTTACAAAATTTTGTTTGAAATTTTTTTTTTCACTAATATAATATAAAATTTTGTTCTAAACAAGTTTACTTAAAAGATAAATGTAGATTGCTTTTGTAAAAAAAAATTTTTATATAGAAAAACTACAAATTTTATATTTATTATATAGTAAACTTATTTTTTTACTTAGATAATCTACTTTTGTTTTTTAGATAAGTTATTTATAATAAA